AATATTGTGGAGAAAAAGGAAAAATGAAAACTCACCATCTTCTAGCAGACGCTTTAGACCTGCCGCCTCCCTCACAGAGCGTTCGTCCCAAACCGGAAAGCTCTGAATGCCATTGAAACACTCAATGAGCTCAGACCTAATTTCGGACACGCCCTGCACCACGCGTGATTGGAAGTTCCAACGTGTTGGTGCACAAGCTGGGAGACGGCGGCTAATATCTGGCGAAGCAGGTCAGAGCGCTTCGGCAAGACGGAAAAAAATGAAGAAAACCCCGAAACATTTGCAAAAAATATACGGACGAGAGGGGTATCAAGACACATATTTTTAATAACGAGGTTAAATTGGTGTGCATAACAATGTAAAAAATGCGCATGAGAAAATCTTCTTTTATATAAACTTGAACACCATGTTTCGACCCACTCATGACTGCCGCGCCGTCATAAGTTTGAGCTATCAATTTTGACTTCGCGTTGTAAGGCTGTAACACTTCTTTCAGTACAGCCGATATCCCGCAAGCCGTGCGATCAACGATTGGTACAAAGCTGTGAAATCTCTCGGTAGGTTTACCATCTTTCACAAACCGAAAAATCACAGCCAGTTGGGAAACGCACGTAATGTCAGTTGTCTCGTCAGACTGAATCGAAAGGAACTGGCAATTCTCAATTTCCAGAGCCAAATGTTGTAAATAAATTTTATACATTGAGTCGAGCAAATCATTTTGGATATCCTTAGATGTCCCTTTCGAAACAGTTGCGGCATCAAGATGATCTCTCAATACTGTATCTAGGGATGCGGTGTATTCCACCATATCCAAAAATACCCCTCTATTAGAAGAGCCAGCCCGTTCATCGTGCCCACGGAGGGCAGCTCGTGACAACCAATGAACTTCAAAACATCTATCAATCGACCGAGAACATGGCGGTTTTTCTCGACGTTTTGGTTGTGCCGACGAATAGAAACCGCGCGTCCTTCATCCAACTGTGCTGCAATATTAACATTTCCGAATGTTCGGTATTTTACTGCATTGTCCAGATGCTCCATAGAAGATTGATGATCCCTGGCACGCTCGGAAAGATGTTTAAGATCTCTAAACCAAATTTACACCAACGTGAGTCACGGGCGGTAGCAAAAAGTAGGCAATAAAAACAAAAAAGTGCATTTTTTTCCTCGCTGTAACACAACCATTCGTGTTTTTTATACCAAGTTTCTGCGCAGAATGTACGCCGACGCTTTCCTCCGTCATGGGATTGTTTCAGTGAACAATTTTTTGGTTGATAAGGCCAACGTTGTACCTCTAATTTTTGTTCCAGCGGCAGCTGCGAAAACGGAGTGCGAAGTAGTGCATCAACCTTATTCATTATGAGGTCTAAGGCTAAGAAATGCGCAGCCGGAAAGAATTGAGGAGCCCAAAAGGAATGTGGAAAATCGAAAGCAAATGAACTAAAAGGTCTCTAACTGATTCAAATAGCGAAACAAGCGAACGAAGGCGAGGAAACTATCAACTCTTCAAGCAACCAACGAACGAGAAGGAATGCGTGAATATGTCAACACGTTGTTGTAAGAAACGTCGGCATTGTGTCGTCATAATTTCGGGGCTAGCCCTGATGATTTAGTAAAAGAAACAGAAAACAAACGAGACAAACGCGGCGAGTGGAAGAAAAAAGAGAGAATACGATATACAATGAGCAACCGGGGCAAAATCGGCGTCGCCCCGTCGACGTTCGGCGAAGGCTTTGCTAGCGAAAAATGAACCATGTCGGGAGAATATGGCTAGTGTAGACAGTCTGTGCAACCGATATTGAGGTATTTTTCAAATATTTTTTATTAAACCGAAAAAACAACCGGGGCATTGCCCCGGTTGGCCCTATTGACGCGCTGCCACTGCAGGAATGAAATAACAGTTGGAATAACAGACTTAGAAAAAGAAACCCAGCCATTGGCCCATTTAGAGATGTTTACATCACTTTTCTTCTGAGTAACTGACTTGACCATGTCTGTAAGAAATGTTTGCATGCATTCAATTGAACCTTGAGTCCTTCACTTTAAGCACCTTAAGTTGGTCGCGCTTTGTGAGTTTACATTGCCCATTTTACTTTGACGTAATAGTCACTTATTCCCCCGCGCTTTACGGCCTTCTAGAACTTTCCTTGCCACGAGGTAGACGCTTGTTGCGCTTTGCTTATTAGGGAGGATTCTGCGCGACTGCAGAAATTATAGCTTATAGGTTTTACTATTTTCTGGTTATATTACTAAATGATTATCAGGTAGGAATTCTAGAATTGAAATGATTATGTTTATCCATATATTGTCCGATAGGTGGTGAGGATTGCTGTATTTTTGTTGTATCGAATACGTCTGTCACTTATTGTTTTTTATTTGTATTATAGCATACTTATGGCTGTTCTTTGAGTCCTTGTCAAAAACAGTCAATTTATCACTAGCACTAACACTAACCCTAACACTGTTATCACTGCCGTCAACATTAGATGTGTTTAAACAGGATAATAAAGTTTCTTTCAACACAAGTCTACGGAATTAATGGTGTACAGGTTGCAGTGTGTGTTGGTCAGTTGGTGCATGGATTGAAGACATTATTTGGGGACCCAAGGGACAGGACGCGTCTCAAGTTACCCTGTATCTTTGAGTCGCAGTGGGACACATTAGGTACCGTACCCTACGCGTACTTATCCCACATCGAAATAAATTGACTGATGGCTTTAAATGATGAAATTCTTCAATCTGCTGTGTCTCACACCAGCACAGCATCGGAAATCCAGACACTGGAAACAATTCGACTCGTTCATGATCGAAACATCACTACATTACTTACCAGTCTTGATAGACTGATGAATATTCCAAATAATCGAAAAAATGTAGTTGCTGCAAAAGATAGACTGGATAATGCAGTGGCTACTTGGGAGGAATATTTGAACAATTACATTACTTCGCATTCAGCAACAACAGAATCTGATGCCATGAATATTCAAAACGCTTCACAGTATTTAACTCAGCTAAATGATATGAAAAATTCATGTAATATGAAATATCGACATTATCAACAAGAATGCCTTGCCAGTGATCAATCCCAAGCAAGTTCCAGAAAATCAAAAGGTTCACATTCAAAGACTAGTAGCACAACTTCTTCCACAAGAGCGAAGTTATTAGAGCTGGAAGCAGCTGAAGAATTAGATGAGGCACAAATTGAATCTCAACTTGCCCAACTTCAAGCTGAGAAAAAGGTGAGAAAGGCACTTTATAAACAACAAAAGGCAAAGATCATAGCAGCTAGTAGCACAAAATCTTCTAGAAGTTCGTTGATTGAAGTACAAGCTCTTGATGAAACACTGTTTGAACCACCCCCAGCATTGAAGTTGCGAAATTATGTGCCGGAATATCCTTGTAACGTCATGCAACCTTCTGTTCAAGTTTCAACAGGAGGTGGAATAACTGGCATTCTCAGCTCAGCAATTGGCACTTCTACAGGTATGGCCATTACAATGCCTTCTGCTAGTATTACTGAGCTTACGTTGTGTAATTCGACTCCTGTTATCAGTAGGAGCCAACAGCTGAATAGAATTAAAAATACCACTGGCACCTTACCAATTGTACCTTCAGCTATACATGATAATATTGCACCATTACAAAATTTGCCTGCTGTGACGACCCCAGGTATCTCTATGGGGCCGGCGTTATCTCACCAAACTGCAAGAAGGAATTTGTCATATCCCACCGTCTCATCAAGTTACCATGATAATACGTTACCTGCATATCCCCCAATGGGGCCGGCATCTATAAGCACATCATTTTCGTATCCTGCTATTTGTGAACCAACTTTTACCTACCCACAAATTTTTTGCCCTGTGACTTATCCTGAGTCCCTTCGTACCTTGCCTACCCGACCCATTATGTCATCAATGGCCAGAGATGACTGTTGGATGCCACCGCCTTCAAGATCCTATCTTCCTCCTAATCCTGCACTACCACCAGTAATTTCAAGACCTGATCCTCACACTTCAGTACTCCCGGAATATCCATCTCAACAATTGGATCATAATTATTCCAGCAGAGATGATTTGTATGTTTTGGCAAACACCATGAAACAAGGCTTCACACTGCCTAAACTTGACCCCATAACATTTGATGGTGACCCCGAAAGCTATCATGCAATTATGCGTGGATTTGACAACATTATTGGTCATCACGCCTATGAACCTGCGGTGAAATTAGCTCAACTTATACAGATGTGCACTGGTGAGGCCAAGGATGCTATTAAGCATCTTGTAATTGTCGATTCTCCAAGCGAAGGATATCAAGCAGCACGAGACACCTTACTTTATCGATTTGGAAATCGTACACTCGTCATTGACGCTCACATTCGTCAACTGACAGAAGGTCCTAGAATAAGAGCCAATGATACTAAAGCACTGTGTCGACTTGCTTCACAGATGAGAAACTGTTTCATTATTCTGACACAGTGGAAAGCTGAACAAATGCTGGATGCACAAGCTTATCTCAAAGATATATTTCGTCGTTTACCACCAACATTACAAGCAGATTATGTACATGACACTTCTTGGAAGAATCATTCGATTCCTTCATTCACTCATTTATTGGAATTTGTTGAACCGAGAGCCCATCTCAGTAATAATTTTTATGGACGTTTAATGGCAGAAAATGACAACAAGCCCAGGGCAGTACAAAATTTTAAACCTCGCTTTGGGAAAATGTCTGCCTATTCTACAATCAGTTCTTCAACATCACAGAAGAGGAATTCATCACCTGCTTACAGACCAACACATCACAATGGAAGACAACAAGCTCATGGTGCTAGCCAAAAGCACCCACAAACTTTATGTTTATGTTGCAAGAACGATCACTCTTTATATCGTTGCGCAACATTCAAACAATATGACCTGCAACATCGTCGTGATTTCATTCGAGAGAACAATTTATGCTTCAACTGCATGAGATCCGGACACATCGTCAAGGAATGTCCGTCTCAGAAACGTTGCCAAGCTGATGGGTGTACACGGAAGCACCACACACTACTTCATCAGAATGAAATGCCAACCAGGCCACGATCACCTGTGACCGGAAATATACCCACGGACACTAATAGTAAGGTCAATTCAACAAATGTAAGTTCTTATGTTGCCAATGTTGTCAACTTTTGTGATACTGATTGTTTTGTAAGGCTCATGGTTGTCCCTGTTGAGGTAGAAGTTTGTGATTCGAACCACAAGTCATTGACATATGCCTTCCTAGATTATGGGGCAACTAGATCCTTGTGTTCCACTAAATTAGCTAGGATTTGGCTCTCAATGGTGAGCCAGAGAGATGTACAATACGGACTGCCACTGGTCCAAAACTTCATGATGGCATGAAAGTTTCATTTACTATTAGGGGTGTCCTTGAACCACAGACCGTTGATGTTCACCATGCCCTGACCTTTGACTCGATACCCGATGTACGAGATTCAATACCAAACACTGAGGCCACACAGCGTTATCCTCACCTACGGGACCTAGAATTTCCCCTATTGAATAAACCAATTGATTTGCTTATTGGGGCTGATGTCCTGGGTCGTTACCCAATCACTGAAACCCGGGTGGGTGCAGCTGGATCCCCCACTGCATTACACACCATCCTAGGTTGGGCCCTTACTGGCCCAGATGTACGCATTGCAGAGACCAATGCAGAAGAAGTCAATTATTTGAATACTGTAAAACCATTTGATTGTAATTTTACTGATATTTCTAATTTTAATGAACCTATTTGTCATATGTGTGCTCATGATTTTGCTGATGTCAATGCTAACCCATGTATTACTCAGCCATCCCAAGATGATAGAAGGGCACTTGATTTTATGAACCAAACTGTGACCAAGGTTGATGGTCGGTTTCAACTTGGACTTCCATGGAAGTCAGACACTGTTAGCCTTCCCTATAACCGTAATATCGCTGAGAAGCGACTAACGTATTTGAAACTTAAATTCATGGGGGACCCTGAATTATTTCAGAAATATAGAGATAAAATTGAGGGTTATATTCAGAATGGTTATGCCGAAGTAATCCCATCACATGCACTCGCACCCACAAATAAAACATGGTACATTCCACATCATGCCACACACCAATCTAAATTTAGAGTTGTTTTTGACAGTTCTGCTGAGTGTAAAGGAACTTCATTGAATAAGAATTTGCTTTCTGGTCCTGACAACAACAACATGCTAACAGGAGTGCTCATTCGATTCAGGCAAGAATTGACTGCATTTGTTTGTGACATAAAAGAAATGTTCCACAGAATTAAAGTTTCACCTGAGGACACAGATGCTCAGCGGTTCCTATGGTGGAAGGACCATAATTTGGATAGTGTTCCTACTGACTTTAAAATGTTGTCCCACAACTTTGGGAACACTTCATCACCTTCTGTTGCCACATTTGCGCTACACAAAGTAGCCACAGACAATCTGTCGAATGCAGATGAGATGACAGTACGCACAGTTATGCGAAATTTTTATGTCGATGATGGACTGAAATCTGTCGATGATCCATCAGATGCTGTAAGACTAATCAAACAGCTCACTGAATTATTGGCAACTGGAGGATTTCACCTCACCAAATTTATGAGCAATGATATCAATGTTCTGCAATCAGTTCCAGAAAGTGATCGTGCTCCTGCAATTAAAGACCTCAATCTTGAACGTAATTCACTCAGTCGAACCCTAGGTGTTCAGTGGAACATGCACACTGATGAATTTGTAGTATATGTCAACATTGAACCAAAGGCGCTCACTCGAAGAGGCATTCTTTCAATGGTGAGTCAAATCTTCGATCCTTTGGGTTTCGTTCAACCATTCATCTTACCTGCCAAGCGAATTCTACAGGATCTTTGTATCGAAGGATACTCATGGGATGACCCCATTACTGGTTTACTAAAGGACCGTTGGGAAAAATGGATCGATAAATTACATGCATTGAATGGCCTGGCGATCCCTCGATGTTACAAACCACAAGAGTTCAAAAGCAACAATATCCAATTACATTGTTTTTGTGATGCCAGCACATCTGGCTATGGAGCATCAGCTTACTTACGACTTACTGGCGACAAAGGTGAAGTTCATTGTTCCTTTGTCAGGGGAGTCGCTAGAGTAACTCCTAAGCAGCCACTGACTATTCCACGATTGGAACTCATCGCTGCAGTTGTGGCTGCTGAGCTTGCTAATTCAATTTTACAAGAACTGGACCATACAGTTGACAGCGTTATATATTGGTCAGATTCCATGTCAGTTATCCAGATGATCAATAATCATTCTGAACGCTTCAAGACATTTGTGGCAAACAGAATAAACACAATTCATCTCTTGTCAAAACCACATCAATGGCACCATGTCGAATCTAAGCTGAATCCAGCCGACATTGCTTCTCGTGGTCTAATGCCAGATAAACTAAACAAGGCTGGTATTTGGTTCAAAGGCCCACAATTTATATGGGGAAGTGAAGATGCATGGACCGTGGTTGATGATGGGATTCATGAAGTCCCATGCGACCCACAACTTGCTTCGGAGATGAAAGTTCATTATACTGAACCTATGAAAGATCTCGCAGATTCTTCTCCATTACATGAACTGTTATTGCATTACTCATTATTCGAAAAGCTACGTAGAGCTGTTGCATGGCTACTACGTTTTCGTACATATGCAACTTGGAAATTCTGACAATTCACCAACTTTGGGATTTTTATCTGTGGAGGAATTAGATTGCGCCACCAAAGAAATTATGAAACTAGTACAACAATCATCCCTCTCAGAGGAGCTCAAATATTTTGAAGATAATACAGATGCTGAGGAAGTACCGTTGAATCTACAGAACAAAAAGAAACTCAAAACACAATTTTCGAAAACACTTCTTAAATGCAACCCTTTTGTACAAGACGGAATCCTGCGTGTAGGTGGACAACTTCGAAACTCTGGTTTACCAGTTGATCAGAAGCATCCGATTATTCTTCCACCATACCATCATGTGACAAAACTGATTATTACCAAACATCATGAAATGACTGGACATTCTGGTACATTACACACACTTTCCTCTGTTCGTGGCAAATATTGGATTTTGAAGGGACGATCTGCTGTTGCCAAGGTTGTTCGTGACTGTGTTGCTTGCAACAGACGTTCTGCAAAAGTAGGAGAGCAGTGGATGGCAGATCTACCATTTTCTCGTGTTACTGCAGGTAACCCACCATTTTTCTACACTGCAGTTGATCTGTTTGGCCCTGTGAAAGTCAAATTGGGGCGAAGCGAACATAAACGATATGGCTGTATATTTTCATGCATGGCTACAAGGGCCATTCATATCGAAGTTGTGGAATACTTGGATACTTCAGCATTCCTGCAAGCTTTCTTCAGGTTTACATCTAGACGTGGGAAACCTGCTCATGTATATTCAGACAATGGATCCAACTTGGTGGCTGGAAGCAAAGCTATTGCAGAAGGTATAAACAAATGGAATTCCAAGCTGATTGACACATCTCTATCTCAAAAGGGTATACAATGGCATTTTTCGCCTCCTCTTTCTAGTCACCAAAATGGAGTGGTGGAAAGAATGGTACGAGAGGTGAAAAGAATTCTTCGAGCTCTATTGAATGGCCAGTCTCTCAATGATTACTCATTATGGTCTCTTCTTACAGGAGTGGAGGGAATTCTCAATGATAGACCACTCACACCACTGAGTGATGATCCGAAAGACTTGAATGCCCTCTCTCCCAACTCAATTTTGATAAACAGATTAGAACCATCTTTACCACCTGATGTGTTTTTTCGAACGGATGAATATAGAAGAGGATACAGGCATGTTCAACGATTACTCGATTTATTTTGGCAGCGTTGGACAAAAGAATATCTTCCCCAATTACAGTGCCGACAGAAGTGGCTCAATGTTCAACGCAACTTTCAAGTTGGAGATCTTGTGCTGATGTACGATGACAATTCACCAAGAGGATGTTGGCCCAAGGCAATTGTAGAAGAAACATACCCTGATGATCAAGGAGTTGTCAGACGAGTGAAGGTGCGCACATCCAATTCAACATATGTGCGTGACATAAGGAAGCTTTGTCTCCTTGAAGCTGTTTGATAACATTTACACATTACATATATAGCAATAGCATCCACACCACACATACACAGTTACACATACATAACATACATTCTCACTATGGGAGTATTAGGTGTCTATTTTGAATTTCTTTTTTTTTGAGGGAGATAATTTTTTGGTTTTTACCCCCCCTTTTTTTTCGGAGTCTTGCATTGACAATTTCGTTATCTTTATTGATTTGTTACTGTGTTTATCCTTTCAATTGTTTTTGGAAGTCAAGCAAACCTTTCTTGTTTTTTTGAAAATCATTTTCCTTGTTATCGATATAACATTTCATATAATTTTCGGGGCCGGTATGTAAGAAATGTTTGCATGCATTCAATTGAACCTTGAGTCCTTCACTTTAAGCACCTTAAGTTGGTCGCGCTTTGTGAGTTTACATTGCCCATTTTACTGTGACGTAATAGTCACTTATTCCCCCGCGCTTTACGGCCTTCTAGAACTTTCCTTGCCACGAGGTAGACGCTTGTTGCGCTTTGCTTATTAGGGAGGATTCTGCGCGACTGCAGAAATTATAGCTTATAGGTTTTACTATTTTCTGGTTATATTACTAAATGATTATCAGGTAGGAATTCTAGAATTGAAATGATTATGTTTATCCATATATTGTCCGATAGGTTGTGAGGATTGCGGTATTTTTGTTGTATCGAATACGTCTGTCACTTATTGTTTTTTATTTGTATTATAGCATACTTATGGCTGTTCTTTGAGTCCTTGTCAAAAACAGTCAATTTATCACTAACACTAACACTAACCCTAACACTGTTATCACTGCCGTCAACATTAGATGTGTTTAAACAGGATAATAAAGTTTCTTTCAACACAAGTCTACGGAATTAATGGTGTACAGGTTGCAGTGTGTGTTGGTCAGTTGGTGCATGGATTGAAGACATTATTTGGGGACCCAAGAGACAGGACGCGTCTCAAGTTACCCTGTATCTTTGAGTCGCAGTGGGACACATTAGGTACCGTACCCTACGCGTACTTATCCCACAATGTCTTCTATTTTTGTCGAAATATCAACTCCAGTGAGGAATGCAGCAGTAACTGCCAGAGAACTGCCGCAATATGGCCAAAGTTTCTCCCCAATAATACTGTGAAAGTTCTGACAATATTTCTTTACCATGCTGCTGGACGTTTCTTTGTCAATATCAACAATAACTTTGTACAACCGATAGTATAGGATGAAGTATAACAGCAAAATTAAATGAGATGTAGCACCCTCAATTTCTAATTTGTCAAAAAAGGTTTTAAATTACTCATGTATAAAAAGCATTCCTTCAATCTGAGCAAAACTCGGAATGTGATTCAGAAATTCCTCATCATCTTCATTACAGTAATGTGAGTAATTTTTCAAATGGGCATTAAAACGTCGGTAATATGATCGCCATTCCCGTGTTGCAGATTTTGTTGGTATAGAAAACGGGAGCTGTGATGCCTTTGACTGACGTGTATTGTAATATATTTCGATATATGAAAGTTGGCACATGAATTGGTCCAGTTCAAAAATCACGCCCACTCTGAAGCTATCGGTAACGCATGTTGATAACCTGTGCTCAGTACAACCAGATCGATGAATTTGTATATCGGTATCAAACCGTCCATCAAACGCGGCCTTCATGTTTGCTGCATTATCCGTACACACAAATAATGGACTGGAGAAAGTGGTAGATTCCGCAAGAAATTCACGTAAAAAAAAGCTGTGTGTAACTAAAAATCAACTATTCCTGAAATTGCACACTCTGGATCTTGTGCCCTATTTTGAAACAATTTCTGAAATTGAAGTTTTGCTAATTTTCCCTTGTTTCAGAATAGAATGAGACACTGTTTGTCGTGATATTGTGTAATTATATACCTTGTTTGCAGCATGAGTAGATCTTGCGATAAAGCTAGCAGCATCACATAGAATGTCACATCCAGCCGAAATAGATAGACTACTGTTGGATGTGATGTAAGTAGTTCAACAACTGTTTTTTGCCACGTATTTGCCAATGCTGCTGGTGGTTTTTGTACTTCCTGCTGCTTTGCATCAAAATATCTTTTGATATCCTTAGACGCGCCAGAAGAACCACATTTATGCTATGCTGTATTGCAACTCCGTAACCACTTTGATTAACCCATTTTCCATTGATCAACTTATACCAACTGTATAGAGTTTTGCACTTTGCGCAGCAAAGAAATGGTGCCAAAATACCATCAGATATTTTCACCGCTTTAACATTGACAGTTGAAGACTTTACATGTTCTTTTGGAAACCACACTTTTAGATAGATTTTGGAACTCATATTTTTGATTGCTCATTTTCGGGTGTTGGCAATAACTGCTCCACAGCACTTTTTATCAAACTCAGCTCAACAATTCAGATTTAACTCTCCTCCGTACCGGTGGACTATAATTCGTCTTCCTAGTTTAAAATGCTAGAAGCGGAACTATGACGTACAATGGTTCCCGGCGTAAGTTTGGCTTTTATATTCCAGCCCAATCAAGCGTACTGTCGTGATACCACGTTACTTCACTACCATGTTAAAAGTTAAAACTGCACCGTTGAAGACAATGAGACATAATGATAATTTTATACGTGCACAAAACGTAATCTTATGTAGAAATGGGTGACTTAAAAATTTCCCACGTGTCCCATGAGAATTACAAATTTGTGTTGTCCCATCCCATCCCATCCCATGGGACGTTTCCCATGGACAAGCCTGAATTTTGGCCACCTCAAAAGTCGGTTGTTGCAATAATTCAAAGATTCTTGCGTACCACTTAAAAATTCCCCGCGTACCACTAGTGGTACGCGTACTACATTTTGAGAATCACTGGCGTAGAATAATGCCTTTCGAACAAATGAAACACTTTGAAAAGTTTGTCTTTAGTCAGAATCTTTTAAATATGCGCCAATCGTTGCGATATGTTACTGTAGCAATTGGTATACTTTCTTAGTATTAAACTTCAATGACCTAGCGGTTAGAAATAACAAAAATAATGAATTCGAAATGTAGTTTCACAATTTTATGGGCCCAGCTATGTTAGCGTATAGCAAGTTAGAAATCTGAATTTCCCGAAACATTACAGCTCTCAAAATGGCGCTCCCGTAGTATTCGTACCAAGACGGCCCACAACCTGCTGACACTAACCTGTACAAATGCTATGTTCAGAATGTGCGCCATCTTGGTACACATACTTCGGGATCACCCTCAAAATAATTGAAATTTATTTGTGATATACGTGGCATTATCACGGCCTGGTTTTTCTTTTCACAGTTTCAGATTTTATTTTCAGATAATGAAATTCATCGTCTGCGACGAATTCATGTGTTCATCCACTATCTTTTAATATATTTCTCGATGTATTTTGATTGCTTCTCTTTAAACGACGGGTTGTATGCTCATTGTGAAGGTTCAATTGCGAACAATAATGCCTATCAAACTAATGCAAGGCTTCGTGAATTTCTGACAGTCAGAATTTCATGAATAAGTGCAAGGTCATCGCTACGATACGTAACTATAACATCGCTATGGATGGGCGTCTTTTAGGTTTTACATTGTTATTTCGTAAGTAAGATACCTGCAACGAAAATTCTGTAAAAACCACACCGAAGATTTTTATAGGACACTAATTTCAATCTTTTTTTCCGAACAAAGCCATGTACATGTACAGCCAATGATATCTAACGATATTTGAAGGTCACAATTTTAGGAAGAAACGGGATTTTCCCAATTAGGCTTTGCCTGCGCATTTTTCACCCTGTTTGAAATGATATTCCATCGCGCTTACTTACAATCAAGGGCGGACACCTTGCAGAGTCCGAGTACCATTTGATGGTAAAGATCATCGACTTCACTACATCGTAACGTTGTTTTTTCGCGAATGACATCGAAACACCGATAAAAAAAGATTTCCAGATCACAGAAACCTAAAATACAACTGTTTTAGTGCTCAAGATGTAAAATGATCGCCGACAACGACCATGCGTTTCACTGGAATACCGGCGTTGTTAAAGATCGCTTGGGTGGGGAAAATCAAATATTTTTTTATCAACCCGAATAATTCAAATATTTCTATCGATTACCAAATATTTTAAATATATAACAGGAGTCCATGACGTTAGCCATCCTAATGTTTGTAAGCTACCTTTTCGCCATTTTGTTTTTCGTACACAAGTACCAATTCTTACGCAACGGCGAATGTCGAAGTTTGGTTTTTATATTTCTGGAAAAATAAGATTTCACATCGGTGACGTATGTTGAAGACAACTATCAGGGAGGGAATTCAGAACTCAACTACTTTTATTCCGATTTTTATGGTTTGCGTTTGTTTGATCTTCATTATCAGCGTTTGTGAATTAACCGTCCAAATTTTAAAAAGGTTAACAATATTATCTTCACTGGCTCAGGAATTCAGATATTCATGAAGACGATAGTTCACTTTTCTACTTTGTCTGTGTTATTTTTGCATCGAATAAAAACTATGCAGAGTCGGCATCGCGTGAATCCTGAATGCTATTTTGAGTCAAAATGTCGGCCAGTAAAATATTTCTATCCCTAAATTTAGCGAAAAATGCCTAGAATATATTATTATCTTCTTTGACATTGCTCAATCTATGAAACGGCGTCGTCGGCGCGCTTGATGCAAAATTAATATTGAAACGATGGCCAAATAAGTCTCAAATTTAATGTTTTTGTACGTCAGCAAGAGCAGTAGGTTATTCTGTCGAAATTCAAAGAGTTGTTTCCAGGCAAAGGCTGATCAGTATAAGAAGACGAAATAAATAATCGAGATAAATTTCAATTTCACCTTGGCACCACGAGTATTGTTTTTGAATCCTTTCATTGCTTCAGCTGTCAGTCCGCAGTCGCTCATGTTGACATCTTCGACTTCACATTGTAAAACGACAGATGCGAGATGAGCGACACCTTCCACTCCCAATGTGTCGTTCCAACGGACGTCAAGTTTCTTCAACTGAATATAAATAGGTTTGGAAAATTATGAATAGTTTTGCAGCGATTATAAGGTAGTTGATAGAATATATGTTTCGGAAAAAGATATTATCTCAATTTTTTTCAATTTTATAAATTGTTTTAAATAAACAATTTGAATAACAACCATCCTGGTTTTTGTTCTAATAAGGTAACCGCATCCGTAAAATCAAAATGGTCGAGGGGTTAAATAAATCGCTCTTATGTTGAGTGAAAAACAATTTAATAAAAATCATTCCAAAATAAGACAAATGTCAAAATGAAGTTTTTATTTGCGATATTCATGACATTATATCGGTCTCTTGTATTTTGTTTTGACATATTCAATCTGTAATTGGAAAATATGTCATCTTTTTAGAAATGTGAAGTCAAATGCATGTCAGTTGTTGCTGGATAAGAGCCTTGATTTAAAAATTTTATGACGTGAAAAGTCGTAAGTGAACGTCCGGTGTGAAAATGTTGATAATTTCTTGAAGTCAGAAGTGCTGTGGTTCTGTTTTATCATGATACGACTAGAAAAATTATGGTCGAAAAAAACAAATGGATTATTCATCTAATCATATTGCCGATAGTTATAGCTCTTACAAGCAAAGCAACCCAGCTTTAAAAAATCACGCGAGTTTTACAAATCGGGTTCAAATCCCACGCCCACCATCTCACCCAAGGTGTGACGAATTGGGTAGAGTTTGTCTTTAGTCAGAAACGTATAAATATGCGCCAATCGTTACGATATGTTACATAAGAAATTGATAGACTTTCTCAGTATTGAAAGTTGTCGGCATCGATGACCTAGCGATTAGAGCAGTGGTTCTCAAACTTTTTTTGCTTGCGGCGCACTAAGCAAAAATAAAATAAAATGCGGCACACACACACGGCACAAAATATGCTTTTATACGATGCTTATTTAAACTTTTCGCTTCGAACAAAGTTATGTGACAAGCAGCCACTGATAACGATGTGTGAATTCCAATACTCTAGGATGCAACGGAATCTTTCCAATTCGGCTTTGTCTGCGTATTTTTTCACCCTGAGTGAGATAATAGAAGAATTACAAAAGAGATGTGTAATGGCAACACAGTTGAGTCCAACTCTTTAACTTAGGGGTCGGCAACCCACAGCCCGCGGAGTAAAATAATCCGTCCCGCGATGATTCAAATTTGGCGGCTGCGGATTTTAATCATCATTTAATTCTACGTTCGAGGATCAGATTTGAGACAAATTTGACAAACCATGTGAAAAAATCTACATCGATGTTTGGAAGTACATATGCGTGGGAACAATTATTTTGAAAACGAACATTACAAAGAACAAGCACAGAACTATTAGTGATGCCAATTTAAAAAATGTTCTAATCTAGGCTTCATCAAATGTGTCACCTGATGTCAAAAATTTATTGAGCGTAATGCAACAAGAAGTGTCACATTAAATGTATTTTTGTTCTAGTAAGACGACTTGCGTCTTGTACTGTTCGCTCGCTATTTAAAGTATAAAGTTTCAACTTTTGATCTTAGTAAAAAATGTGATTTATCAGACACCCGTTCGATTTTTAAATTTTCTTCAAAAATATGTTTGGCCCGCCATGAATTGCAACCCGCAATGGTCTGTAGTAAACACAAGCAATGAAACACGATAGCAGGGGTGTGCAACCTTTTTCGCAGGCGGGCCAAATATCGATAACTGGGTAAACTCGCGGGCCGCACCTTTATTTAACATAGGCTTTCTATAAGTTGCAAGCACAAAATAGTTTCTTTTTGTTATTGATCTCATGTCGTCATCATAGGGGTTCCTTGCAGAAAACGCATAAATATCTTAAAACTGTAATCCAAATATATTGTCACACTCAATTTAAACGAATTCGGTGAGAAATTTGCTGCTTGATTCTTTTTCCGACTACTTTTATCCAAATTTACCTAAATGAAGTGCTAGCAATTTGATATGACGCCCATTTTAGAAAAAAGTATGTAACCGAAAAGTGCCATATTTGAAGCCATGACTTTTTTCAAATTAAAAAAGTTATCTTATTTGAGATGTTTTTGGTATAATACGCCAAGATTCATTCCAAATACTTTGCTGTTAAATATTATTCTAGATTAGATTTCAACAAAATCAACTGATAGGCTGGAACCAAAACTCATTTAACTTTTGTATCTCTTAATATTACATTTTTTCAAACTGCTTTCCAGTTGCCTAATCTTCAATTGTCTGTTCTTACAAATTCATTCGCGTCTGCGCCGCATTTTTCTTTCAATTGTTTTCTGCTCGGCAAGTGATAGCTTCTTTGTGAATCGCGTTGTTCCCTTCGCTGTGAAGACGTTATAACGTCATAGGCATAGATGATAAATTGTACTCGAATATAAGCTTTGCAACGCGAAGGGCACCAGATCAAACTAAAAACTAAGTTAGATTGCCGCACACCATTCAAAATTGACATTTCTTCGCGGGCCGCACAATTTGTCCTCGCGGGCCGCACTTTGCACACCCCTGCGCTATAGCAACGCTAGAAACTGTCCGAAGTATAAATAGCATCGATTTGAAAATGTTGATTCAGACCTCTGAAAAGCTGGTATGAATAACTTGTAACCCAGATAAGAATGACGGCAGATAACACCGTTATAATGACTTTGTGTTGGCTTAGAATGTAATTTTAGTGATCCATTTCATCCATGTTTTGAAAAAAAAAATTCTTGTACCACGCATTGTGGTTCGGTGATAAAATTGTAAACAAGAATAGAACGTAAAAGCATTCATGACTGTTGCTATGACGACACACATGGGGTTGTTTACGATTTGCTGCGCCGATTGCGGTCGACAATTATTACATTCGCTGCTGTTCGAAGCTTTTATGCAGTAATAATTAGGGAGTGACGTCATCAAATCGTCGAGTGAAGTGTTGAATTTGCAAATTCCGCAAATACATTGTGCTAATGATTTGGTTTCTGCGAGACTAACTACTTATCCTTCTTCTATGTTTTTGTGTCGGCGGATCCGTATGCATATAATACAAGGATGCTGTAGCAAGAGTACAATTGTGAATTTCTCGGTAACTATTTTAGCTATGATAATGGTTGTGTTATTATTTTGTTGGAAAGGAACACAAGAAAACGATCAAATTAAAATGAAAGATCAGACGCAATAACATTCAAGGTTGATTTCTACAAGTTTTTGGACACACGGTCGCAGATTCTTACATATTGTTGGATGTCAGTAGCTGCTTTCACAGAGCCTTGTCAGAAGCGAAAGACGCGGATAAGACGTGCATGCGTCCTATAAAAAAACAACTGAGCGCTTTGAAATATTTCACCGTAGTCAGGATGAAATGAATATGCCAGTGGTATCATGCTACTCCTGATAAAATATGAAGGAACTACAATTATTAGGCTTCCCGCTGCTTGTCAGCAGAGAACCTATTGTATTCCTGTGTTTTATTATTAGGCTTCCCGCTGCTTGTCAGCAGGGAACCTATTGTATTCCTGTGTTTTATTATTATTATTATTATTATTATTATTATTATTATTTATTTATTTATTTATTTATTTATTTATTTTTATTATTTTTTTTTCAAATTGGTCCTACAAACTTGAAATTCACCTCAAATGTGCAGAAGTTCTCAGCTAGCAATAAAATGCAAATTTTATGCATGAGTGACCACGCTTTCACGCTCTAGTGAGCAAAACGCGTTTTCAGTTTTTTTGCGATTTCTAAAAATTGATACATGGTATTGGGTTGAAATTCATAACAATGATTAATGGACATGTTCCGGATACGACATGTCAAGGATACGCATGAGTGACCTCGGCGATACGCTCCAGTGAGCAATATAGGATTTAACATTTTCATCTTCTTCTCGAGAACGACACTACTTAGAGACTTAAAATTTACATCACATGCAGATAATAAGTCCCCCATCATAAATTGCAAATTTTATGCATGACTGACCACGCTTTCACGCTCCAGTGAGCAAAACGCGTTTTCAGTTTTTTTGCGATTTCTCAAAATTGATACATGCTATTGGGTTGAAATTCATACCAATGACTAATGGACATGTTCTGGATACGATATGTCAAGGATACGCATGAGTGACCTCGGCGATACGCTCCAGTGAGCAATATAGGATTTAACATTTTCATCTTCTTCTCGAGAACGACACTACTTAGAGACTTGAAATTTACATCACATGCAGATAATGAGTCCCCCATCATAAATTGCAAATTTTATGCATGACTGACTACGCTTTCACGCTCCAGTGAGCAAAACGCGTCTTCAGTTTTTTTGCGATTTCTCAAAATTGATACATGCTATTGGGTTGAAATTCATAACAATGATTAATGGACATGTTCCGGATACGATATGTCAAGGATACGCATGAGTGACCTCGGCGATACGCTCCAGTGAGCAATATAGGAATTTACATTTTCATCTTCTTCTCGAGAACGACACTACCTAGAGACTTGAAATTTACATCACATGCAGATAATAAGTCCCCCATCATAAATTGCAAATTTTATGCATGATTGACTACGCTTTCACGCTCCAGTGAGCAAAACGCGTCTTCAGTTTTTTTGCGATTTCTCAAAATTGATACATGCTATTTGGTTGAAATTCATAACAATGATTAATGGACATGTTCCGGATACGATATGTCAAGGATACACATGAGTGACCTCGGCGATACGCTCCAGTGAGCAATATAGGATTTTACATTTTCATCTTCTTCTCGAGAACGACACTACTTAGAGACTTGAAATTTAAATCACATGCAGATAATAAGTACCCCATCATAAATTGCAAATTTCATGCATGACTGACCACGCTTTCACGCTCCAGTGAGCAAAACGCGACTTCAGTTTTTTTTTACGCGGGAAGCCTGTTAAAGCTGCACGCAGCTCTAGTTATTATTATTATTATTACTTATCGATCTTAAGATCGGTAAGTATATTGATAGGTATTTGTCTGTATGTCTGTCTGTCTGTGTGTCTGTGTGTG